GGAGATGCATTTAGATGATCTTTGCATAAATATGGCAGAGATTGTCAATCGTTCTATTGTTGATACAAAAAGTCAAGGTTATTTTCAGAAGGGCTTCATTCTGACAAGATAAAATGCTAAGGCACTAGGGATGTAAGCAACTAGTTGAATAGTCAACTAGTGATGTGACTAGTTTCCCTCCTCCCCCACTGCCTCTATCAGAGAGAGGCAGCAAGGTGGGAGAGTTGGAGCTGGTGCTGGGGGGACCTGGCTTAAAAGCCAGTCCCCCCCCCCCCCCCCCCCCCCCCCCCCCCCCAGTCCTGCCTCCATAGGAGGCAGGGGAGGTAGAGGCACAGCGGGAAACGGTGCGAGCGGGGACTGACGCGGTCTCTGCTTGTGCCGCTTCTGCTGCATTTCTGCTTTTGACACGTGCAAGAGCCCCAGCAGGACTCTTGTACATTTCAAAAGCAGAAGCCCCACAGAGACTGGCCCCACGCTTCCTACGGTGCCTGAGCCTTTGAAATGTACACTGGGGCTCTTGACCATTTCAAAAGCTGAGGCACTGCAGGGAGCATGGGGCCAGTCCCCCTGCTGGGCTTCCACTTTTTGATTGTAGCAGGAGTCCAGCAGGGCTCTTGCTACAGTACAAAGGCAGAGGTGCCCTTATCAATTAATCGAATAGTTGATGGAAATCCCGTCAACTATTTGATTAGTTAATCAAAATGTAACATCCCTATAAGACACAGTGTGTTAGTGTGTGGTTTCAGCTGAAATATTAAGTCAGTGAATTGGTTTGTTGAGGCAGAATTGGGACACTCTTTTGGGCAAAATCTTAGGATCTGTTCTAAGTGGTACTAGAAGAATATTGTGTATGGGGGGTTAGCCATGAGAGCTCACCTATTTTGCAGACTCGTTAATCAAAATGTAACATCCCTATAAGACACAGTGTGTTAGTGTGTGGTTTCAGCTGAAATATTAAGTCAGTGAATTGGTTTGTTGAGGCAGAATTGGGACACTCTTTTGGGCAAAATCTTAGGATCTGTTCTAAGTGGTACTAGAAGAATATTGTGTATGGGGGGTTAGCCATGAGAGCTCACCTATTTTGCAGACTCTACCAAGGGTTTGAATGGGGCTCTGGTTAACCTGCTGAGCACTAGATTGAAGTCCTATTCTGGTGTGGGTTCTTGGACATCTAGGTATAAGTTCTGTATGCCTCCGAGAAATTGCTTAGTAATCACATGAATTAATATTGGCAGTCCCATCTACTTGTTGATGGCAGCAAGATGAACTCTAAACAAGCTTGTAGCAAGCTCTTTAGGGATAATAAATATTCTAGGATTAGTGCTAGTGGTGCCTGGTGTATAGATATTTGTTCTGATTCCACAGGAAGAATCTTTTCCATTTTTGTAGGTAAGTAGTTCATGTATTTCTTACTGTTTATTAACACTTGTTTTACCTGTTCTCAGGAGGTCAGTTCATTGCAGTGTAGCTATGAAGGAATCACACTATCAGGTGAAGTTTCTCCAGGTCCAGCTGGAGGACTTCACGATCATCTTGGAGAGAGAAGATTCCATAGGTGAGGGAGAGTGAACGGAGTGCAAATCACCATGCATGTCCGAGAAGGGAACCATGACTATGTCTATCTGGGCCATGTCAATACTAGGAGTATTATTTTGGCCCTGTTGGTTCATACTTTGTGTAGTATTCTGGCGATAAGGCATATTGGAGGGAATGCATATAGGGGGAGAGAATTCTATTTGATGAGGAAAGTATGCCCTAGCAATCATGTACCTAGTGCTGCTTGTGAACAAAACTCTGGGCATTTTTTGTTCACTGATGTCATGAACAAGTCTGTGTGTGGGGATCTCCACATCTGAAATATGTGCTGTGCTATTTTACCATTCAGTTTCCATTCACGCTCTTAGGGAAAACTGTCTGCTTAATTTGTACACCATCATGACCCCAAAATATATGCTGCTGTAATAGTGATGTGTTTTATGCACCAGTTCCATAGTTTTAAGGCCTCTGTGCATAGGGAATGGGAACATGCTCCACACTGTTGGTTAATATAGAACATACATGCAATGCTGTCCACCAGTACCCTTATCATCTTGCCTTCTATAATAGGGAGGAAACACAGCCATGCTTTGTGATCCATGCATAGTTCAAGCTGATTGATATGTAAATATGTTTCCGCAGAGGACCACTTGCCTTGGATTGTATGTTGGTCTAGGTGAAGCTTCCCATGCACCAGAGATGCATTTGTTGAGATTTATATGGATGGTGGATCCTGTTGAAATGGGATGCCTGAGGAAATGTTTTATTGGGTTTGTCCACCATTGTACTGAATGTAGATCCTCTGGGGTCAGTGTGAGTCTTTTGTTTAACTTGTGCTTTTGTGAAATATATGCCAAGCTCAGCCATCCTTGAAAGCATCACATGTGTAGTGTTTTACAACAGAAGTAGTGGCTGCCATATGTCCCAAGAGTTGTTGGCAAGTGCACGCAGACCCCCAGAGGCTGTGAGAAACCACCAATATGAGAGAGGTTATTGATGTGACTTGGGGCATTAGCAGTGTTGCTTTGGCTTCCACTGAGCCCAGGTGCACTCCTGTGAAGTCCAGTCATAGTACTGGAGTTAGGGTAGATTTCCTTTCATTGAGCTGAGCTCAAGGGAGAACCTTGTTAAATAATGCATAATGTTTCTGTTAGGGTATGGCGTTTTAGCAGGCAATTGTCTAAGTATGGGAATACAAAAGCAGCTACCATCAGAAGAATTTTAGTAAGGATCCGTGGAATCATCAACAGCCCAAATGGTAGTACTCTTTATTGGAAGTGATCATGTCTTACTGTGAATCATAGGAATTATCTGTGGGCAGGATGGATGATAATGTGAAAACACGCATCTTGTAGGTTGAAGGCTGAGAACCATTCCCCCTCTTACAGTGCAGGAATGATAGACTTGAGAATGACCATTTTTAATTTGTGGGTATAGACAAATTTGTTGAATTTTTTTACATATTACAGGGATCTCCAACCTCCATTTTTCTTTTGAGTCAGGAAATAATGGGAATAAAATCCCTTCCCTCTTTGTTGTGTTGGAACTTGTTCCGTAGCCCATAAGGCTATGTCTACACTAAAGAGTTTTGTCAGAAAAAAGGGCCGTTTTTCCGACAAAACCTGAGTTATGTCCACACTGCAATCACATTCTTCCAAAAGTAAATCAAAAGAACAAAGGTTTTTTTCCAGCATTGGTAATCCTTTTTCTACGAGGAAGAAGCTTTTCCGAAAGAACTCTTTTAGAAAAAGGCGTGTGTGGACAGGGAAGAGGAAGTTCTTTTGAAAGAAGAAAGAGGAAAAAGCACAAGTGCCCTGGTGCCCACTCCATCCATAGTAATCACAGCTGAAATGCGAGATAGCATCCATTCATTGTGGACGCTACCTTTCAAAAAAGCAGATCACTTTTTCAATGCGCTTTTGTGTATGGGCACTCTCTTTCAGAAGAAGTTTCATTAGATGATCTCTTCCAAAAAAAAGTTCTTCTGAAAGAAGCCTGCAGTCTAGACATAGCCTAATTGTAGAAAGTGATGTACTTCTTGGGGCTCATGAGAAGGGTCCCTGCAGAGGGACAGGCAAGGGGGTTGGATAGGTCAGAGGGAGGTAAAGGTGGCGGTATAACCTATTTAAATGATATCTAAAGCCCAGTGGTCTCTGAGGACTGAGGCCCAACTATGGTAAAAATGGTCAAAGCCGATGACCAAAGATTGCTCAGTCCATTGGTGCTGGCAGTTAGGAGGAGGCCAGTCAGATGCGTGACCAACTATACAAAATTGCATCTTGTTTGGTAGTGCTTGGGACTTGGAAGCCTGAAATTGGGTAGGGTGACATCTCTGTTGTCTGTGCCTTTGTCTTTGATTGTAGTATGGTCTTCTGTCATTGAAACATGCTGTCTCTTGTATGACTTAAAAAACAAAAACTGGTCTGGTAGCGCTTCATAGACTAACAAAACATGTAGACGGTATCATGAGCTTTCATGGGCACAGCCCACTTCTTCAGATGACCGGAGCTTTGAGTTTAGCATGTGCAGTCCCAAAATAAATAGGGGGGCAGGGAAAGGTGGGGTAGGAAACAAGAAGCAGAGGTTATGAAAATATCAAAGGGAAAAACAGGAAGGCAGAACAGGCAATCAGTAAGCCCCTGAAGATTCGATAGTTGTATGACTGTAAGGCTGGTATCCACATATCCTGTTAGGGAGCAAGTAGATCCTGGTGGTTGTCTGTGTTGCTCTCTAGTACTCTGTTCCCTAGGGCTATAAAGAGTTTCTGTGCCTTCTGGGGAGGAGTGTTCAGATGAGAAAACTATCTCCTCCACATTATCCTGCTTATTGCTTGAAACAGGTGGAGCAAAAGGAGATTCTGGTTGGTCCGATGCCATTGGTATCAGCGAGCAGGCAGCACTGAGCAGAGGAGATCTGGGAGCAGAAGAAACTTTAATATTTGATGAGTGCATAAGAGGGATAGGTGCCATCATATGCAGTGCTATATCCTTCTGCACCGCTGCCTGTTTCAGCACTCTTAGGGAACGTCTACACTACATGCCTCTGTCGGCAGAGGCATGTAGATTTGTTTATTCAGCAAAGGTAAATGAAGCCGCGTTAGTTTGAATTAACTTTGTAGTGTAGACATACCCTCAGGCTGTGTCTAGACTACATGCCTCTGTTGGCAGAGGCATGCAGATGAGGGTTGTAGGCAAAGGGAAATGAAGCCGCAATTTAAATGATCGCGGCTTCATTTACATTTACATGGCTGCTGTGCTGAGCCGACAAACAGCTTTGATGTTTACCAGAATGAGGTTTACCGACAAAGGGCTTTGATGTCGACAGGGGGAACATCCAGACTAGCGCGCGAGCCGACAAACAGTTGATCAGCTGTTTGTCGGCTCAGTGCAGCAGCCATGTAAATGTAAATGAAGCCGCGATCATTTAAATCGCGGCTTCATTTACCTTTGCCTACAACCCTAATCTACATGCCTCTGCCGACAGAAAGGTCTCTTACACAGGTCTTATGTGTGACAGAGCAGAGAACTAGGCCAGAGACATACTATGGCTCTTTTTCTATGATCTTGAAGCCCAAAAACAGATGGAATTAAAATGGAACAGTACAAGAATTTATCTTTTTGCTTAAAACTAGATTAAACTGCCTCTGTTTTCTTTACACAAGATCCCATACCAGAGATCAACAGAGTAGGTGATACTCTATTTCTCACACAGCACTCTCTTTCCTACATTTGTTATCAACTGATGTCCCACAGGTAATAAGTGAACTAAACCAGAAGAATGTCTGGGCCTCTCAAACAGAAAGGCAAGCAGCATAAACCTAATCCAACTAGCTCCTAAATCAAAACAGTATCCAGAATCATTCATTTGTTTCAAACTCGCAAGCACATGCATACTCTGAGACAACCACTTGTTTCCCTATGTTATAGAAACAGAGCATCATCTGCGTTTATTGTTTTTAGTCCACTAATGTAGCACTTTTGTCCCATACGTACATTCATGTCATAATCACAGCAATTTTTCTTGGCTAAGAAGTTTACAGGGGACACTCTTCATAGCTCATCTATGGTGCTCTAGAAAAGTAGCTGCAGGATATCTGAAGCTTTTCCTCCACTGCAACATCATTGCCTACTGGGCAACTCAGAGGAATTACATACACGTAGACAAGAAGTCAAAGTAAATCACAGCAGATTTTCACCTTTTATTGCAAGATTTCTGGAGCTGTGGTTGAGTCTGTATATATTTTGAATGTATTTCAGACACAGACAATGTAGATTTCCAAGCAGAAGATGTATTCAAAGCCACTTGGACAGGTGATTTTTTTTATTAATATTGTGTCTGTGGTTCAGGAGGCCTCCCAACAGTTTTAGTGGAAAGACTGTTGCATTACACCAAATGGCAGAGAGAAGCAAGCAAGGATGGTAAGGACTCAGCTTCCAAGTTCTCTTGCTAAAGCATCTTGAATAAATTTTAGAGTACGTTGGTAAAGGAAAGTATCTTTCTTCTTTGGCTTGCAAGTATTCAGATGATTAACCTCCACTGGAATTAGGTCTCCTATGCCTAAATCTGGGGGAAGGAAAAAAATGAAATAGTGTAGATTAAGAAAAAGCACTTGCATTAGCAATTGAAGTCATGCCAAAACAACCCATCCATAGCAGTTATTTATTCATGTTGCCTTACACTAGGTTGTTTTTAAATGAACTGAAAGCACTATGAATACACAGTGCTGATACATTGCATAAGCAGAGGCACATTTAGGCTGATTCTAAAGGAATCCATTTGGACACATCCTTAGACTTATGCAGAGTTCCACTGACTTCAGTGGGATTCCACAAACAGGTGTCTGCCCATATGGATCCCTTTGCAGGATCAGAGCTTTAGAAAACTTCTTCCTTCCACTATAATTTTCCTTTACTGATTTAGTCACCAGCAGCCAGTTTACTCAAGAAGTAAATAATAGTATAAGAAGAGCATTACAACCGTACACATTCCTTACTGAACACATCATTTAATGTCAAAGATTGAAATCCTAACTATTCAGCTCAATGGGAGTTTTTGTCATTGGGTTAAATCCTGGCCCTACTAACGTCAAAGTATCTACATTTTGAAAAAGTCTAAAAGACTGCAGAAAGTTTTTACTCATAATTCAACTTCTCCATAATTAAATAAACTCTTATTAAAAACTGTGACTTTGGTGCACAATCCAGCATAGATTCAAACTTTAACTTGGAATACAGTATAAAGAGTTTCTCCAGAAAAGGGAAAAAAACGCCACCACTGAAGGGTACAATATAGGTGCTCTACTCCCAGCAAATTAAGTTAAATTAGCATAATCATGCTATTTAGGTACTTCTGATAGCTAAGCCTCATAGCTTTAGTAAAAGTTCTAAATAAGGTTATGCTGAATCTTTTATTCTAATTCTATGTGCATATGTTAACATGGGCTAGAGAATTCCCTCAGGAGTAGAAATTCATCACAGCACCCCCGGCTGGTTAAGACAGAGTAGGGCATAGAGGGCTGCTGGAAGGTCACAGATTGGGGTTCAAAATGAATGGCTCATGGAGGGGGCAGAGTGGATCATGGGCTGAGGAGCTAATGAAGTAACAACATAAAGCCTGGTCACAGTAGAGGGGGGACTGAGAGCCAGAGAATGGGGGTTGCAAGGATAGGGGCAGGTGTGTCTGTCTGAATGGGAGAGACTTGGAGTCAGCCATGGTCTTCAAGGGAGGCTTCCAAATTCTCTAACAACCCTCCCCCCCAAAAAAGACTCCCAAGCACACCCAACACCCTCCACATTCATTTGTAGGCTCCCTCCTTCTCCTCTGTTACGCCTGACTCCCCAACGCCTTTGCACTACTGAGTGGTGTAGGAAATACAGTTCTGTATTGTATTTAAATGAACGACACAAAGTTCGGTATTAATATGCCTAGTAAGGAATCTACTTATAAAAGAAAATTACCAGAATCTGTTTTTTTTTTAATCTGTGTTGTTATAGAAATACTTGCTGACAGATATTTTGAAATAAATTATCAAAATAATTGAAACTGACATGATTATATTGTGTTATTTTGACAAATAAAATATGCAGAATTTGCAAATATTGTGTGCAGAAGTTTTAATTTTTTGGCACAGAATTCCTGCAGGAGTAAATGTATCCAAGGTCAAAATCTGGCCAGAAGTTTAAACAAAAGGTTAATGCAGGGGTTTTCAAACTTTGTAATATTGCAACCCCCCCTCTAAGTTGCTCACGACCCCCCCCACTGGGGGGTCGGGACCCACAGTTTGAGAAATGCGGGGTTAATGGTTTAAATGTATCAATAGTTTTTCATATAATATCCCCTGCTTATTTTTTTCCAGATATTATAGTATCTTCATTGCGTATCTTCCTATAGCAATATGTAAGAAAAGGTAAATAGCTTGTTGACATACTTGATGATTCCACAGGTACCACATGCAGTTTTATCATGCTGCCTATATGTGTTGGTAAGGTTTCTGCAAAACTCAACACTGGAAATTTCTTATCCTTGGCAAATGAAACAAAATCATCGTTCAGCTCTTTAAGGGCAGGAGAATCTGAAGGAGAAAAATAAATACTGAATATTGTGTAATGTGTGTCAACTCATATCTGCAATAGTTCATCTTATAAGAAATGCTTTGGCAAAATTATAATTCCAGTAAAAACAGCCACACATCTATCACAAGACTCTGTTTTCAGGGGTATGATGATAACCAAGAATATGCAATGCTAATTTTGTAGTTTAATTCTACATGGCCTGGGATTTGATTACAAAAAAATACAGAAGAGTTATGCAGTGGGGTGACTGCCCCACACTGGCCAGAAGGGGTTAAGACAGGCTGGAGGGAGCTTGTGCACAGCCTTGGCCAGTTAGAGAGAGGCTTTATAGTAGCCAATCAGGTTGTGGCTTGCTGGGGCAGCCCTGTATATAAGGAGCTGCCCAGCAGAGCAAGTGAGAGGCTCTGACCAGGGAAGGTGCAGGACCTGGATCCCAGAGAAGCACCTTCTGGAGAGCAGTGCTGGGAGGGGTGTGCTAGAGAGAGAGCCTCCAGCTTGATACCTGCCAGTCTGCAGGCCTTGCTTCAAGGGCCAAAACAATGCAAAGGGTCACAGGGGAAGTGACTCAGGAAACTAGAAAGGAGTACAGGACGGCACGACAAGGCTCCTGCCAGAGGGTCTCTGGGTCGGGACCCTGAGTAGTTGGTGGGCCTGGGACCCCCCAGCTTTTCCTTTGCACCATGTCTAGCCACCATTGTGTGGCATGAAAGGACTGTGGCTTGCCCCTGAAGTGAGGGGTTAGTTTAAGGCTGCACTTGGCAACAGTGGCAGTAGCTAGATGAAGGCCTGCTGATAACCCCAGGAAGGGAGACTAAAGGCCACTGGAGTGAACACTGCCAGAAGGCAGTGTTCCCAAGAGGACAACGCGGTCTGGGACTGACGCGGGTCCAGAGCAAGAGCGTGGCGCACCAGAAGAGGCTTCCCTGTTGATGAAGGACTAATTCCCCAGAGCTACCAGCAGGAGGTGCCGTAATGGTGAGTCCCACTCTTTGACAGGTCACATACTGCACTATTACATTTCTGAACAGAGACTTCTCTTCTAAAACTTGACCATAGTTTTTTCTACTTCTACAGTTAAATACAGCAAAAACAACGAGAAATCAGTCCTGTGGCACCTTAAAGACTGAGGATTTATTTGAGCATAAGGTTTTATGGGAAAAGACTCACTTCTTAAATGCATACAGTATCTATTCTGTCAATTTATCAGACAACCTTAAAATAATGAATGAGTTTTGTTGTTTTCAGAAGAAATCATAAACAGATACATTGCTGTATTAAGTGGTTACAAAATGCATGTACCTGTGCTGAGTTCCTTAACCTCCACAGAAGGAAAGAGAAGATACCTAGCACTCATTGAGTATTCAGCCAGCTGGGAGCCATGGTGAGGTACACTATAAAATATGATTCCTTGGGTGTTGTTTACAATTTTATCCATTTCTGGGTTCTTGGAAGCATCCACCAACATTTTTTTGACTAGAAGACCTGATGACACAAATATGAATTTATGCAGAGAACTAAACTACTGTGAGAATAATGTTCATATTACAATACATATAAATCAGCCAATCATACTCTTTCCTCAGCTAATTAGGTCTACTTTTCTAGTTTGAAAAATGTAGTGTCCAATCCAATGCTCAAAACTTACTTGGTTTCCTATAAACACTGCCAGCAATGTTCACTATAGATCCAACAGAGGGACAATTTAGTCTACAGGTTCCCAATTACAAGACCTTTCCAGTTACTCAGTTTGTACTCTTCCCCAACATAGTACAAAGAGATAACAATATAGTTAATTAATAAAATATTCATGCAGTGCAATAAACTAAACATCAGTTTTATATTTTCAGACCACTTTTTGCAAACTTTTATCTGAAATGTTGTAGTTCAGGCTAAGTTAGCTACTCCCTTTTAAAGCATAATGGTAGATAATACATATGTGATTTGCAAATCATAGGCAAATACTTACCCCCCATGCTATGTGATAACCATATCAGAGGTCTGTCTCCAATACCAGCAGCTCTAAGCTTATTGAGAAGCTCATTGCTCCTATAAGCAATAGATTTCCTGCAGTGGAGAAAGAGAGGGGCAAACATGAGTGGAGTTTTTTATGAAAAGGGAATTAGGTAGTTATGAACACAGCTATTACGATCCTCACTGAGAACTGACGATACTAAACACCTTGTGGGACAGGCTCATTAGGAACAAAAACTCAGAGATAAAGAACATTTTCAAGAAGAGCAGGAGTTGTTCTTTAGTTTTGATTTTAACTCTTAACTACTCATTATGCTTTGGGATTTTAAACAGCTTGGTTTACATACACACACATTTTTCATCAGCATATAAAGAACTTTATTCTCTCTTGAACCAAACATGTCTGACGAGCAAATACTTTGCCTAACTGTCTTTCAAGTGTAGGGCCACACACTGATCATGCTAACGTTGAAACCTTGGCTTTGAATAAAGAATCTGAGATCTACCTATAATTTCTAAAAAATAAATATTAATAATTTGTTCTTCTAATACACTTTATAGCAAATAATCTCTGTTAAAAGAATGGTAAGGCCTAATTTTCTCCATTTTGAAAATGGAGTTCAGGTACAGAAAAGGTAAAAGCCCAAGGTCAACCACTCTGTAGCAGAACAGCTACAGAGTTAGTTCTACTGACTCTCAACCTCCTGGGGTTCCCTCCTCATAGTAGAAGCAGAGTTGCATGTAGATAAGCAAAGGACAAGTTAAGAACTCAGGAAATTAAATAAGCAGCAGAAAAATCAGGATACTACAGTGCAAAGATCTAAATAAAAGTCACATTTAAAAAGCCTTATATAATCCTCAAAATGGATGTTAAAGATAATTCTGCTCTAGTACATATGAAAAGAGATTCAAAGGTATATTTTCAAAGGATCTAAATCTTCAAGTCAGCTGCAGAGATTTGCTTCTTTTCAGAATCAAGGCCAAAATAGCAAATGGGATTTCACAGCTCCATGGGGACTCTAAATATTGTCCCATTGGTCCATGACACTTTAAATGACAGCATTATAAGTTCACTTTTAAATGTCAGCTAGAATACCTATGAATAGTAATGCAAAGCTTATAAGTCTAGTGCTACATCTTTCTTTATACTCTTTAGAAATCCTACTTCATACCTTTCCTTTTCATATGGAACTACAAAATGATCAAATACTGTGTGCCCAGGTGATCTTTTTGAACACACTTTATTCTGAGTACAGAAATTATTGTAAGAAGAATTGAGAAATATATGTTTTTCCTTTTTCTAATCCTTTTCCACTTCCATAACTTTAACTGGTCATATGAATAAACTCTAGCTCAGAGGCACCTGTCTACACATATTTTTGCTGTTATTAAACAGCATTGTTTTTTCTACTGCTCTCAAAGAAGGAGGCAAGATTGTTATAGTTTTCCTAATATAGTGGATTATATGTGTGTCCTAATTGCATCAATCTGCTCAATACCAAGAAACAGAAGGAGCAAGGAGTGGAGAGAGAAAACCAGAATCGTGCCCCCTAATTTTCTATACTGTGATAAACATTTTCCTCTACTATGTAACATAAGCCTCTTGAGTCCTGATTCTGCAAACATTTAATTTTATGCACAAGAGTTATATCTTTGGGATTATATTCACCTGCTTCAAGTTGAGCTCTTGCATAAAAATTTGTAGGATTAAGATTTAGGACCACATCCAAAACCCATTAAAGTCAATGAAGAGACTCCTATTGACAATGGGCTTTGGAACATACCCCTAGTCTGGGATACTATTTTTTCTTTTAGAAAACCATGTTGAGTTGGTGCTGTTGCTCAAATGAGACACATGCAGAAATCCTTGTCACTTGTGGCCAATAAAGAACCCACAACACTTTTGGCAAAAATGTCTTGACAAATACAAATTTGATTTTCAGTTGAACGTGGTTTCCTTTACTTGCTGTCCAAAAGAGCTTTATTGTAATACAGTTTATAGCAAAACAGCTGCTACATTTTATCTGCCACAGACCTACATCGCTCTCTTTTTGGAGATGTAGAATTCTTGACTAAAAATTATCTCTAGGCCAACCAGGCATATAAAGTCTTAATGTGAAAACTTTAGTTGTATATTTGCATAATTGTTTGTCTGAAATTAAGAAATCCTCCACTCCACAAGGAATCTCTTCAGGTCAGTCTCTAAACGTCTTCACACAGTTTTCCTTAATGCAAAGCTGAATGAACTACAATAACTTAAAGCAGGGGTGGGCAAACTATGGCCTGCAGGCTATGTCTGTCCTGTTAGAACTTGTAATCCAGCCCTCGAGCTCCACTGTCCCCCTCGAGCAGGGTGGGGGGGGGGGGTGGAGTCAGGAGCTTGTTGGCTCTTCCTGGCACTCACACCAGGAAATGAGGTCAGGGCAATGTTCCTTTGAATTTTTTTCCACCTGGGTGCAGAATAAATTTTGTTGTGTGCATCAAGGCAAGTGCAGATGTGCACCACCAATAGAAACACATGCTGCCAGCTGTGGGAGTCCATGGGCACTCTTCTAATTAGCTTGCCAGTGTCTGAATCTCTCCTGGGCGGCTGCCCAAGAGCTCATCTTACAGGGAACCCTGGTCAGGGGCTTGCTCTGCACCAGCACTCCAACCAGGTAGTGGGGTTGGAGACTTGCCCTGCTCTTCCTGCCCAGTGCTCCCACTGGGGATGGGATCAGGAGCTTGCCCTGCTCCCTGGCCTGCCACACAATTTCCATACTCAAATGAGGCTCTCGGACCAAAAAGTCTTCCTACCCCTGACTTAGAGACATCACAAGCACCGACCCAGAAGGTAGGGAAATCAAGTGTGCACACTGTAGCTGAGGAACAGGTGGTAAGATGTTTCTCCAAACCCAAGTCTCCTCCACAAAAGCCCATGACAGATAAAAAGATCACCCGCTCTTGACTATTGGATCCTATATGTCATTACATGCACTTCATTTGTTACCTGTGGTCCTCAATAGGGCACTTTGTTTTCCAGTCACTCAGGTGGGTATCATATTCCACAGATATAATTCTAAGAGAAGGACAGTCTGAGGCTAGCCACGTCTAAATTAAATATAAAATCAAAACAAAAGAATATACTTGAATTTGCACTTCACCTGTTGGTTCTCAAACACCAAAATTAAGATCAGCAAACTTCTGTAAGATTGATAGTTAATTTGAAGAAAAATTTAAAAAACCCCAAAATGATACAATAAAACCAAAGAATTACAAATACCGTAGGAATGTAGGTTGTTCATAACTCCAAAATATTCATAACTTTAAACATAACATTATGGTTATTCTTTCAGAAGTTTATAATTGGACAATGAGTTAATACAGCTTTGAAACTTTACAATGCAGAAGAAAAAATACTGCTTTTAACTATCTTAATTTAATCAAAGAAAGCCAGAAAGTTTGTCAATTTTTAAAAGAATTTACCCTTTTAAAAATTAGTTAACACAGTACTGTACTTTGTGTGTGTTTGTATTTTTTCTCTGTAGCTGCTTACTTGTGTACTTTGATTCCAAATGAGGTGTATGTCGACTAGGAGGTGTTCCTAACTCTGGTATTCATAACTCTGACGTTCCATTGTAAAATGCAGTTAATAATTAGAAAACTGACTAAAATGTAAAAAATGACACCCGTCTGAAAATATTTGCTGCACATGTGTTTTTTTCCACTGTTAGCATATCACATAACTACCAAAGCTATGGGAGAATGAGCTGAATTCTGTTTTGACACAAGCATTATTGACAAAAGGGTCCACTACATTTTGATGGCAGAAACAATTACTATTGGTAATGATTTAAGAAGCAACATGATTTTACTAGTCTCAGGTCATGTTGGTGGGACTGGCAGTTAAAGAAATCATCTTTTGAGTTTAATTTTAAACCTCTTTAATTTTCCAAGTGCTTTACAAACAATAGCAGAGCTTTACAAAGCTGATTTCAATAGAATAATACCAGGGATAAATACTGCCCAGCAATTAACCCTTGTAACATCTCTGAGAAGCAAGAAAATTACTGGTTTACAGGCTGGGAACAGGCATGCAGATTAAGGAGATTGCCCAAAGCCAAGCTGCCACATGGGCTTCCATATGCACATTTACACTATGCGATAACACATGGTTCAGGCTCAGATGCCATAGTATGCCTTACGGTGCTAGCCTCAGCTATGCAGACAACTCCAAAACCCATCTCCTATAGCCTGAAATTTTATAGACTATTTTTGGTCTTTGAATAGTCAGTAGAAAAGGCAAGGAGCGCAAACAAATATCTATTTGCTAACTGAATGCTAGCCTAAACTGAGGAATAACAGAGAGAGGCATGGAAGATATTACCCTTGTTTTCTCTGATAAAAGTAGTATCAGAGGGACTAACATTAGCTGGGAAATCCCGCTCCAAGAACTATCTGTTAAAAAATGCAACTTGTTGGCAAGCATTTACAAGTAAGAAAAAGCTACTTATGGAATCTGATTAAAAGTAATTCAGATTAAAACCAGGGGCATTAGCTAGATAGTGTGACTCTAGATCGCTTCTGTTTTCCTCTCTACAGTGTTCATTGAGGAGGAAACAATAATTTGATGATAATTAGTTATTGTCTCCCTACCTTTGGCCAACATTCACTGTAAACCTCTTCTCCTTCAGAAACCTGTTCATCCAAAGGTTGAATAATGTCTTGCTGTCTCCAGGTTTTAAATGCTGCTCCCAAAAGACCGTGAATAAAAAGGACGTCGGCTTTAATAGGCTGACTGATATTGGAAAGAGTTTTAAAAAGTAGGGTACATATTTTAATGTATTAAAATTTACAATAGCCATTTTATCCTGAACCATCCCAAAATATCCCCCTGTATGTTAATGTAGTCATCACATGTCATAGGAGGTATACAGAACAAACTGTAAACGGTTAGCCACACAGAATACAGTGGGCTAGGAACAAGGCAGGGAGTTCAAGTGGTCTATACCATTACATGATGTAACATTAAATGCATCCCAGCCTTCTGCAGTAGGACTGCTGAAATCTGAGGTATTCTAAGAGGCTAGAGGCACATTAATGGAACACAAACAGATACATCTTCAACTTATACAGTGTCTGGAAAACTGAACCACACCATTCCCTTTCTTCTGCATTCAAAGGAAAAGTGAGGTTCCCATGGAGTGTTCAGCCTGCTGGAACACAGCGAGTAATACATTTATGTGATTTACTAAGAGATGGGGAGAGGAGTGAAACCGAAACCCCCATGGCAGTACCATTTACCCTACAAGACCTATATAGGAATATTAAATGAGGCATGCCGTGGGAAATGGTTTAATGAGACAGGGTGAGGCAAATCCCCATAACGAATTTATACTACTAAGAATTATTGTAATTATGAACTAACAGCTAATTATGCATGAAAGTGAAGGAGAATGTTTATCTGCTTGTGAGGAAAGAGATGAGCACAGAGAAGTTCCAGGTACTGTCACTGACAGGAGGGGCCGGGTCAGCCGGGTCATATATTGGGTGCCATAGCACAGCCACTCCAGGGTCAACCCTAGCTAATTGCTATGGAAAAATCTTCTGGATACTGTCCACATGCATGTGCACATGCGTGATTAGAATGAACATGAACAATTACTTGAAATACTGAAGGATAGCGATGTCTCTGATACTATACTAAAGCAATGATTTTGCCACTATCAAGGTGACAGTGGGTATAGGTCTCATTTATACACCAACAAGAATCTGCTCACCAAGTGGGTCAAAAAGTATTTCAGTCATGCTTTGGGGACAGTAAAATCTTGAGATTTTTGCAAGAGCAACTGAAAAATTAAGAATAGTCTAGCACCTTAAAAGACTAACAAAACATGTAGATGGTATCATGAGCTTTCGTGGGCATATCCCACTTCAGATGACTAGAGTATTAAAAGTCTAGATCCAAGAATAAATAAGGGAAGGAGGAGGTGGGGAGAGGGGAAATAAGGAGGGAAAAGGAAAAAAAATTGTTCAAGTTCTTATCGGCCTCTTGTAACTTGAACACTCTAATTCACTATTTTTTTTTTTCTTTTTGCCCTTTCTTTTCCCCCTCATCTTCCCTTATTTATTCTTGGATCTGGACTTTTAATATTCCAGTCATCTGAAGAAGTGGGTTGTGCCCGCGAAAGCTCATGATACCATCTACATAAAGATTTTGTTAATCTTTAAGATGCTGCCAGTCTATTAGTTGTTTTTTCAGTTACAGACTAACTCAGCTACCCCTCTGAAGCTTTTGAAAAATTAAGTGCATCCTTAAAATGTTGCTTCATACACAGCACTACCTTAACTGTGCCCCCATAAGGAGGGTAATATGAAATGGGAACATCATAGTACCTTATCCTCTGTAATAAAAAATGCCAATCTCTTTGCCCACTACAATTCTAAATCGGGATTTCTATTCATAAAATTCAAAAAAACTTTCTATATGACCTGTGTAATGGAATTAATATGATAAGTTGCTGATAACTGGCAGATATCACATTGGACACACTGACCTGCCTTTCCTCGTTTCCAGCTGCACAACCACAGTTAAATGTTGTATTAGCAATGCTCTAGGGGATTTCCTACAGTTAGTTCCCTGTATTTCTGCCGAGTGTTCCTTGCTTTCAAGAGAACAATTATCCACTTGGTGCTGGCATTGCATGTGAGCAATACCTTCAACGTGCATATCCAAATGTTTGTAGATTTGTGGGGTTTTTTTCCTTGTTAGACTCACATTCTTTCAAAGGAGCTATGAAGAGCCTTTCATTGAGTACTTCTTAGTGCCTTAACATTTAAGTTTAATGTAATAAAGTCCTACATTCCAGAAGGACGGGCAGAGCAGACAACACTGTTGTGCAGCAGCAACCTTAATGCCTCCTTCACATAGTTTTTTGCAAGTGAATAATAAAGCAACACGTGGTAGAGTCAGGCCCCTCTCCTCTTTACCTGCTACGGTATTGTGGATGTAAAACATATACGCCATCTGGATATTTTTCCTGTACTGTCTCCCTGTCCAAATTAGCCAGGGCTCTGGATGCATGCGAAGACTGAATGACATGAGGAGACTTCATTACTTCAGCTAGTATGGAAACCCAACCTAGTTTAAAAATAAAACACAACACATTTCTCGCTGGCTGCTCATTACCAAGAAACTTTTATCTGAACTAAGACTGCAGAAATGTCATTGACTTTTTAAATTTAAAATGTTTGCCAAAATTGTAGGCGCATAAAAATTACAATCCTAGAACAAACCCTATTTCCATCAAGATATCTTGCCTCAGACGGTAATCAGTGCTGGTTGGTAGTACCTGTGTAATGCAATGAACACTGCCAAAAGCATTCCACATTGATGCGGTATGCAATTATTCCCTGACTCCAACTGGTGATCAGTTTGATATGCAGCAAGAGCGCTCATGCTCTCTCTGAAGAAGAAAAGAATGCATATCCTTCAACTTCTCCCACCACCCAAAAGGAAGAGGCAGGGGAAAGGAGCAAGGGAGTAAATCCTCAAATAGTATAGATGTGAGAGGCAAAGAAAAAAATCTCCCTCCCCCTGAATAGCCAGGAGAGAATAAGAGGCCTCCAATATCTGACTGATAGGCAGGGAGAAGAAGGGAAACAAAGAGTGAATACAACAATAACTAGGAAAAAGTAGAAAAAAGAGAGCCTCTCCTAGTAGCCATTAGGGAAGAAGAGAGTGCAAGATGGTAGGGCTAGATGGACCATAACAAGAAGGGAAAGCTATCATTGTGTAGCAGCCAGAAATGATATAGGGGTGGGGAAGGGAAACTGATGCTTGGTAGGAGATCACAGTCATTTTCCATTCCCAATATTTAAAATCTTTGCATGGAAGAATTAAGTATTAGAGATAATTTGGTCTCTATGATCCTAAACATAACCATGAGATGTTCATTAAAATAAAGTACTATTACTAAAATAACAATATTTATTAACCCATTCTTCCCAAAGTGCTGTACATGATTAAAAAACTGTCTCAGCTGCTTTCACAAAATAGATGGGCAGCTATTTCTTAAAATACAACTGATCATTATTGGACACCTCTGTGAACCTGAACAGATTAGTGAGAAATGTGAAGAGCAAGATTTTGCATGTAATATTTTATTAAAGCATTTAAAACAAAACTCATGCAATTATTTTGTACGTGTCTAGCATAATTTAAAAAAATATAGAACTCCACACACATTAAAATGCAAAGAGATAAAAACAACTGAGTATTTAAAGCACAGAACTTAAATATGATAGAGCACAATAAAGAGGGAGCCAGCATTTATTTGATGAAAAACTTCTGAAATTAAATAAAAGTTTTAAGTGGGAAAAGGGAAACTGAGAAAGGTATCTAAGATTAGCCAGTTCCGCACAGGTTTGAGAGAGAATACTGGAGTCTACTCAACAAATAAAAAAATTCTGAAGTATAGTTTTACACTTAAAGGACTGAAGGTTGTTGTTTTATTTCTAAGCAATTTTGTTTCTTTAACTGCTTCCCCTCAAGGTTTTGTGTACAAACGTGTATTCAAAAGCTGAAAAGAGAAGACTGCTTGTGTCATGAGACTTTTTTAAGATATGACTCTTTGGAGCCAGAGTGGGAGTGGGGAGAACTAAAATAGAGCAGAAAGAGAAGCAAAGTAAGATCTGAGAAGGTATGGAGACAGGTCAAATCAAGAAATCATTACTGTGCTTGTTAAATCAGTCCTAAAAATCTCCCTGACTCCTGATGTTGTTGGCTAGAGGAATTTTTGAGTCCCACTACTTTAAAGACATAGACAAAATCTGGAAACACTTTGAAGAGAGAGAACTGTCTTATGGTGGTAAATCTGAAAAAAGGAGACAAATGCAATTTAGTTGACCAGCAAAATTCTGAATTGCCCCCAACAATTAAAGATATGGGAGACTGAATCAGACATTTCTTTTGCTAAATCTAGTTTCAACTTCTGCTGGACTCTGCAGTGAAGTCCAGATCCCAGGGACTATGATCAGAGCATCTTGCCATCAGTATGACTGAAATGTCACTGATTCAGGATTAGTAATTCACAGCAGTAATAAGGAGAAAGAATGGATGAACTTCAAACAAGTCATCTATTTGAAAACCAATACTTTTCAGATGTAATAAAAATTACAAGAAAATTATGAAAGACACAAACCAATGTAAATTAATTTTGAAAGGATAGATTTCAAAGGTTTCTGTAACATGAAATTACGTAAGAAAACACTATCAAATGATCTTTTTCTGCTTCTCTATAATATACAGTAAAACTCCGTTAGTCCGGCATCCAATGCTCCGGCACTCTTAGTGGTCCGGACCATCAGGAACCCGGAAGTGCTTGGGGCAGCCAAACAATTGGAGCTGCTCTGTGCCCGGCTTCCCCGATTCAGCCACTGCTGAAACTGACCAGCAGCTGAATCGGGGAAGCCAGGAGCAGAGCAGCGGGGGTGCTGTCAGGTTGGTCCCGTAGCGCCGCCCCTCAGGGCTGCGGTACCAACCCGGCAGCACCCCAGCTGCTCTGCCGCAGGAGTCCCCAATTCAGCCGCTGCTGAAACTGACCAGCAGTGGCTGAATCGGGGATGCCTGGGGCAGAGGTGGACTATCGGAAGGGGGAGCTATGAGGGTTCTAGTGTGGCATCCCCCCCACCCCCACCCCAGACTCCTCATAGCCCCCCCTTCTGATAGTCCGGCATATCTGATAATCCGGCACCCCCTGGGTCCTAAAGGTGCCGTATTATCGGAAGTTTACTGTAATAGTAAAAAAAGGCTAAAATAGTTTGGTTAAATATTACTTAAACTGAAACGTTCTGAAGGGTCAAAAAACACAGAGCTAAGGATATCCACTCCCCCACACAGGAAGAGCAGCAAGATCAAGTAGAAGTTATTAGGTCTACTTTAAAATGAGGAAATTGATGAACTGCTCTGTTCACTCCAAACTGTGGAGTAACAGATCCACTTGGCCTCCTTACAAGAGGAAAGCACAGCCAGTATGGAAATCTGGGAACTAGTGAATAGATAAAGTTTGTGAGGAGGAGCCTCAAGATATTCATATAAACATCCCAATTCTGATGTTCAGCTGAATTCTGAACCTTCATCAGTGGTTTCTAATGACTCTGACTGCAGGGATAAGACACGTGATTAGTTGGACAGCAGAGGGAAATTTTCAGTAACACTGATCATGCTGCCTTGGTCTGTAAGGGTATGTCTACACTGCATGCTAATTTTGAAATAAGCTATTCCGGAAGAAATACTCCGAAATAGCTTATTTCGAAATAGCATGTCTACACTACAGGGAAGCCTCAAAATTAATCCGAGGCAGGCTTCCCTAATGTGGACGTGCTACCTCGATTTAGAGCCCCAGGAGGCACTGGGGAGTAATTAGTTTCAATGGCACTGGGGAGGAGCTATTTCAAAATGGCAGCAGTGGAGCGTTGACACTACTGCTATTTCAAAATAGCTATATCGGAATAGGCAGTAGTCTTTGTGGAATGAGGTTTACAGAAGTTGGAATAAGACATCCATTATTTCAAAATGATTTAGAAATAACTGAATTCCTGTGTAGACACTTGCATTGTTTTTTTGGAATAACAGCCGCCATTCCGAAATAATGCTGCTGAGTAGATGCACCCTAAATGAATAGGACTTCTGCCTCTAGCATTATTGATCCCGTGTATTCTACAGAAGCAATAAATGCACTTAAAATTTAGAATATAAATATTGCAACAAGGTTGCTTAAGTTTGATTTCTTTTACCTGCACGTATTATGGATGAATGAAGACGTTCGTCCAAAGCCATATTTCCAATTATGCGAATTATGTTCCTTTGTATTTTTGCAGAATCTTTACGAAGTTGGTATATCCTCTGTAGTAGCGGCAGGCCTCCATTTGCTTCAATTATATCACAATGAGTAGAAACCTAGCATTTTTAGAGCAAATTTAGTCATACTAAATGGAAATCATGCAAATGTCCAAATCTGCAAAAGCTTCCTGAAAAGCTCTCAATACATACAGTCTTCATTAACACTATTATGTATTATAGCCAGATCCTACACACAAATTCGTACTTAATCTGGGACTTATTTTTATGTTATACTTATGTCTTTCAGTTTAACAATTTAAGAAATTATAAGGACTATGGAATGCTTCTCATTCTTTTTATTGAATTCCACATAGAAAGGGAGTCAAAAATTTTATCACGAGAACTGCACAGTCATTTATAGTTTGAAAGTCCAACATTAGAAAGGTGCTGAGTGCCTGCACTT